AAATGTGGCATGCTTCCATTTACCAGCAGTACATCCTAAGCAGACCACATTTTAATTCTTTTAGCAGCTTTATACACATAGGCAGATTAAATATAGCTTAATTACAACATTTATGGTATACTGATCTTCTTTACAAAATGGATGATTTCTAGCACTTGTCCTTATTTTAGGAGTCAAACAACATATATACATACACACATGCTTTGTTCCTACAAAATTTCTGCTCTAACTTCAGAACAGCAAGTTAATTGCTACAGTCTATAGAGGAACACAAAGAAACTTCCTTTTTTTCCTGCCACAGTTATGCAGTACCGTAAGCAGCAGCCTGACCATCTTGGTGGCCCTGTGCTGGGCTTGTTCCAGTGTATCAATCTCTTCCCCGAGGCCCGGGAGCCCCAGGCTGCAAACAGCACTCCCGATACAAGGGCCAAAGAGAAGGGAAGGGTCACCTCCCCAGTCCTGCTGCCCCCCCGTTTGCTCCTGCAGGCCGGGATGCGGCCGCCCTTCCTCGCCGCCACGACCGAGGCACTGTGAGGACTTGCTGCTGGCTCCCGTTCTCCATCACAACCCCCAGAGCTGCTTCCCCGGCTGCCAGCCCGCTGTCCAGCCCACTGCTCACCGCTGTGGCGATGGTGCGGCCGCGCCCAAGGCCTCGCCAGAGTCAGCGTGTACTACGGCCCTTTGCCCACAGCGCCGGCCATTTCATCGCAGAAAGCGATGAGGTCCCGGCGGGCCTGATGGGCTCCACTCCTCCCACCCAGCCTCCTCCTGCTTCCACCTCCCCCGTGCTCCCTTTCTGTGCCTGAGCTCGCTCACAAGCTCCGCGTCCACCCACACTGGCCTGTTGCCGTGCTGCCTGACCGCCTGCACGGGGAATGGGCTGTCCCTGGGCTCCGAGGAAGCTGTCTTGAAGATCAACCAGCTCTCCCGGGCCCCTCTGCCCTCCGGGGCAGCCGCCTCTGGGGAACTCAACAGGCCGAGATCCGCCCTTCTGAAGTCCAGGTTTGTAATTCTGCTGCTCATCTCCTCTCAGGATCTTAAACTTCACAGTCACCTGGTTGCTGCAGCCCAGGCTGTCGCAGATCTTACATCTTTAACCAGTTCTTCCCTTTGATTGTGAATAACAGGTCCAGAGTATCTCCTTGAATCATTCATCCTCCACATTAAGAAAAACTTTTAAGGTAATTTTAGAAATCTTATGGATTGCTTACTTCCAGTCATTTTAGCTTGGTTAATAGTACCCGTGAGTACAGAGGCCTGGGATTGTGAGGTTTTTTCCAACTGCCTAAAGAAGGCTTTATCTATCTCCTCTTCGTGACCAGTAGGTCTGTAGTAGATGCCTTCTACAACATCATCTGTGCTGGTCTGTACTCTTCTCCTTACCTGTAAATTCTCTACTTGCTTGTCACCTGCCTCAAGACAAAGCTATATGCAGTCAAGCTGAGCCTTTACATAGATCACAATCCCTCTTCCTCATTTTTCTCACTGTATTTCCTGGGGATCCTCTATCCATCCACTCCAGCACTCCCACCAGGAGATCCATCCCACCACACCTCCAGAATCCCAGTGAAGTCAGAGCTCTGCAACTAATTTGTCCTGCTCGTTTCCCATGCTATGTGCTTCTGTGTACGGGCATTTGAGATGGGCCCCAGGTCCTGCTACATTTACGGCAGGGTGAAAGCCTCCCTTGTTAAACTTGTCACCTTGACATATCTGCTCTGCCCCTTATGACCTCTCCTCTTCGGGTTGTGGTAACCTTCCATACCCAGTTTAACACTCTCCTCAACAGATTAGCAAGCCTAGTTTGCAAAGACACTCTTGCTCCACTTCATTAGATTTTTTTTTCCATCCCTGCTCAGTAGCCCTCAGCAGCAGAGGCCATCACCGCCTTGACCTGCAGGGAGAGGCAGGAACACTCTGCAGCACAGGACCAGGACAGAGGGCTCCTCCCCTCGGAAGCCAAGGACTCTGATGTGTTAATGGTAGTCCTGTGGACTACTACTAGATCTTAGTAGATGGCCATGTGCTGGACAGTGTATCCTGCAGCATATCAAGACCATCGTTGTACAGTGTTCAAGCAGAGCCACATAGTCTTGAGTGGAATTTCTGAGCCTCTCTGCACTCCTGCTACAACAACTGCTCTGCCTTATTTGCTGAGCTCTGTGGGCTGCACTCTGGATTCCTTGCTCTTTCCCTAACAGGTCCCTTTTTGTGACAATACAGTCCTGCCCACATCACCATCACCCTGAGCACCCATCACTTAGCTTTTAAAGTGCCACCGCTGCTGTACTGCTCTGCCACCCACACCAGCTTCACAGCAAATTTGACTGGACTGGGCCCTAAGCAACCTTATCTAGCTTTGAAGCTAGCCTTTCTGTGAGCAGAAGCTTGAATGAGATCATCCCACATCCTTTCCAACTGAATTTATTCTACGTTTCTATGTCAGGGGCACTGCTGAATATACACTGAGGTTCAGCTGGTTTCATTTTAAGAGCCATCAATGACCAAAGCAAATATCTGTTCCACAGGAGGTATAGAAATGCATTCAACATAATTACAGCACACAGCTTTTGGTACAGGAAAAGCACAAACCTTGGTCGTGTTCTTGTAGACTTTGTATAGGAGTGAGGGCAACTAAAAGGCTCTAGACTTCATTTAAATGTCTGATTGGAAACTGCCAAAGATATACCACCTTCACTGTATATTCTATTGCCAGTTCACTACTGAACGAGCTAATAAAGCTAAGCCTTAATTAACCCCTATCACTTGCCTGTTGTTTTTCTCCTTGTGTGACCAAGCCAACCATACACCTTCCGTTGCAGATTAGAAAGCAGCCCAGAATTTCTCACTTTCAGAGTCTGGCTGCTGAGCCTTCTCAACCACATGAACCACAAGCAGGGATTTTTGTAATTCTACAACATTCTGAAGGAGAAGAAAAAATAAACAGAAAAACAAAACAAAACAAAACAAAAAAATCTCTCATAACATACACTAAAATCCTGATTGTTTGATGTGAAAGTAAGCTTTCCAACCATCGTGCTGAAGCAGTGATTTCCCCAGGCTGCCATTCAGTACAGATGTATTGCCCTGCCCCCAGCCCTAAACAGAGAGCACAAAACGTAAGACACAAAAATGTCCAAATGCTGTCGAAGTATACTTGTCTACAAGCCTCACTTAATCAGTCTTTCAACTCCCTCCCTAATACGTTTAGATAAATGTGTCAGTAGTCACACTGAAGTCTTCTGACTGAACCTGCACCAAATCTACAAGCAGAGCTATACAGAGCAGGGCACCCACTACATGGCATGACTGAGTTATCCTACAACAGTTTAAGCAAAGCTTCATGTAACTCTGTCTAACCATATAGAAAGCAGTCCAACTTAAAATTTCCAGGTCACAGACTGCCCCAAGTAAACAAAGCATCAGAATGCTTGTATACAGATTTCATACCTGCATTCCCAGGTTGCTGGGTGGAGAGTGGTTGTGTATTTATTTATTTTAAAGCCTTTAATAACCGTTTGGGTAATTTTTACCACCCAGGAACTCAATTACCATAATAAAACAAACGTAAAATTTGGGATTTTTCCCCACACACACACCCCCAGCCTGCAATCTCCCTCCCTCTAAGCTCTGACCCCTGCTCCTTACTGTGCCAGCAAGCAGGAGAGAGTGTTGTGATCCCACCCACTCTCCCACTATTTCTTCCTCATTTCTCCAGCTCTCCCCAGGACTGTGCATACAACAGGAGTACAGGCAAGCCCCACACTGAGGTTGCATGTTCCCCCTCCATTCCTCTCCCCCTGCTACTGGCACATTTGTACACCTCTGCAGCACCTACACGATACTACCCTGCATCTGCAAAGCTCCCTCGCCACCCGGCCAGCCACGCAGAAAGAGGCCATTCCCTTATCAGCAGCCACTGGTCATTTCAATACCTGACTGCTGAAATACTGAAAATGGAACCAAGAGTGAGGCCTAGGAGAATGTGCACAATGCAAAGGGAGAATCCCTGGGTAGATGAACAAGTTATTCAAAGAGTGAAGGATAAAAAGAAAGGCTCATTATTTTAAGTCTGTATCAAAACCACCACTTGTTTCAAATGAAAGAGTAATAAAACAAAATCTTGTAAAACTCTGACAAATTGTATAACTCAAAATCTCTACTTGACATTTCCACTGTTCATTTGTGTAAAACCAACTTCCAGAAAGATTACTTACAATTCTATTTTCATTCACAGCTCTACAAACAAAATTTGGGAGGATCACAAATTTTAAGTAGATGAACTAAAATGGCAGGACTACTCAAGTCGATGGTAAACACTCTGGTATCTCCTAAACTACAAGGTAAAATCTTGCCTAACCTGAGCATTTAAAAGGACAACCAAACTTATGTACACTAGGCTTTATAATTTCCTTTTCAGATATAAAGCTTAATGAAAATATTTCAGAAATAACAAACAGAAAAAGAAAGGACGTTATAATTCTGGCAGGCTTGGAACAAACAAAAACAAAGACCAGACCACATGATAATCATTCCCAGATTTCCAGAGTTCTGGGATCCGCATGGTGTATTAAATGTATTTTAGGATGTCTTTGCTTTACTCTTTTTGGTATTTCACACATCTTGGAACTGTTAAACGAGGTTCTAAATTTAATTCCCTTCTACTCTTTCCGATTTGGATACACCGTTCTCCACGAATGTTTCTATGTTCTAACCATACACAAGAACTCTCCTTGAATTTTCCTGACCGTGCTGCTAGGTGGTACTACAGTTCCTAGCAGAAGCAACGACCGGGCCACAGAAGAATAGCCAGGAGTGCAATACTCTGCTGCCACACACTCCTTTCTCCCCCTTCAGCTCAGCACAGTCGTTGCCTTCAGGCCCACGGAGGCAGGCACACTGTTGGATTTGGGGACTGTAGCGGGAAGCAGGTGAATACAACAACACTGCAGCAGAACAAAGGACAGGAGAACAATCCATCCATTAGATCATTAACATACCGTTACTCCAGATATAATTGGGGCTTTTCCTTCAATTAGTTTATATATTTCTTGAACTGCTTCCTCATCACTCTTGTCTTTAAATCGCTTCTTGGAGAGTTCTTGAAGAGCTTCCTTAAACTGCTCAAAAGTGATAGTTCTGGAAGACTTTCCCCTGTCAAAGCACACAGAAATTGAAAGGGATTATAAGAGTGCACAACACACATTCCAAGAACAGAAGAATGCTTTCAGTTTACCACACTGAACAACAGAAAACCGCTACAGACCAGGAAGACCCATGTAGCCCATTTATGGTGTCAAACAAAACACATCCCAGGAACATCGCTTTCTTTTTTATGTACATCAGTAGGATAGCGCTTTAGAAACTTCCCTCAACGAATGTTCAGGAACAAAGAGGAAATAAAGGGGCCTGGCCTGCTGTCAGAGTGCCTGCAGCTCATCAAATCAAATGTAGTCTTATTTGGTTGATCACTTGAAAAGCCTACATGCGTAAGAGACAAAAACTGAAGTGTCTCGGTGAGTTTTGTTATTTAATATTTTTTAACCCTCTTTGAATACTGGTTTATGACATATTCATAGGTCACTATTCATGTATTCACAAGTAAATTAAGAATAACACTCTTGTGTAAAGCAAACTATTGAAAAGCATTTAAAAACTTGAAATTCCTCTTCTATTAAAGACTGACAAATTTTAAAGTGATGCGTTTAAATTCAATACCTGTTTTCCTTCTCAGACCATCACCTTCATAAAACATTCACAGGCTCATGGGAAACACAAAATAGCAGTCTGATAACCTCCTAAATCCCCCAGAAATTCAGAGCTGAAGACTTGTTTTCACTAATAGGAAGCCCATATTTTCACACTAGTAGATTACTTGTTTAGGTTTTTAGTTAGGTTTTTCTCCACTTTTAGTGGAGAAGATTTTGCTATAGCAGTGTACAGTGCAAAATCTGACGAGTGGGAAATTCACACTTTACAAACATCTATTTATTCAGTCATTCCTGCAGATCTTTTACGCCCATCAGACCAAAAGGGTCCAACTGATAAAACTCTTACTAAGAAACTCAGCATTCATCACAGAGATATATTAACCAAAAGGGGACTAATGCAAGTCTGTTTTCTAGCATTTTAAAATATTCAGTTTAGGCAGGAGATAATGTAGTGGAATACACACTGTTCCTTTCTTTTCCCCAATACAAAACTATTTTTAGTGTTACTCATTTTAAAGTTCAGATAGGAGACCACAGCACTAGTGATATTATTCACCATTAAAAAAAAAAAATAAATAAAATCTTTTGTTTCTTTGAATTCTATCACACAAAAAGCACATCTTTTCCTGTATTATTAGATTACAGATTCCCTGATCTTTAGAACAGGATTTTACACACCAAAATTCAGCCATACTTTTTAAGCTACATTTTACAGATCAAATAGAAAATTTTTCTAAAATATGTTCTGGTACTTACACTGATGTAACATTCAACAGGACCATCTTTAATAGCAGAAGATATTTTCAATTTCGCACAACAGTATGAAACCCTCAAAGTCAGAGAAATATTTGAAAGTCCATGTTACTAAGCTTTGTTTGCCACTTAAGCATATCTCTTTATGCCAATTTAGAGAACAATTCAAGCAAATCAGAAAACCAAACCAAACCAAAACCACAACAAACCCTAAGAAAACTACACCACACAACCCAGACCAGTCCTTTCAACAGTGACAGCTGTTTATACAAGAATAAATGATAGATGTAAAGATACAGAAACTGGGCACTGGCAACAGACATCTCAGGCTAGAAAAACTATGCATAGAAATCGAATTTTAATTCAAGCACCACATTGAAGAGCTATTAATCTATCACCCATTTATCTTTGATCTTCTCTCAGACACTTGCAGAGGTAAATCCCCTTCTGTCAGAGGGTGCCTCCACTAATAAAAGGGGGGAAATGAGATCTCGCAGTTTGAGACACCACCAGTTACGACATGACTCCTATTTCAATTAATTAAACACAAAATTAATTTTATCCCAGGTTTTTAAAACAAGGGAAAAATGGTTATTCACAATAAAATTCAACACATACTGTTCATTACTAGAGTCCTTTATTTTCAACACTCCCTATTTTAGCCAGAACTAAACTTTATCTGGTTTTTGACCAAACTTTGCTGTTTGCAACAACTTGTCTGCTTTAGGTGAAGCATATGTTTAAGTATTTCATGGCATTAGCTAGTAAAATATCATGACAGTGGAAATGAAGAATAAATCCAATATTTCATTAATCAGAAAGACATATGGAATAAACTACAATCAATTATTTGGAATTTTCCCAGGATTCTCACTAATAGGATTAATATCCCTCTTCTGATGCAACGTGTCCAAGAACTTTCAACTCGGTCAAGAGGTCAGGACTTTGTTTTGGTTTAACTCTCATGCACAAAAGACAGCATCGGCAATCACTGCAAAGCTTCAGCCTAACACCACGCTAAGGCCCTTGTTCGCTATAGACTCACAGACAAGTCTCACATCCGGACCTTTCAAATGCAATTTTCTGTAGCACATAGATTACCTGGAAGTCTCCAAACAGGATTGCTATAGTTTAGCTTGGACCAGTCAGGATCATCACAAGGGGAAAGGGAATGACCATTTTCAGAAAAAACTGGTGAAGTTCATGTTGACTCCTTTTATTTTTATTAACACATGCTGAATTTTTGGTTCCGCACTTATCAAATAGAAGAGCACATTTTTATTTTCTTTTTCCCTCTGTATTAAAAGGAAAAATACATAAGGATGATGAGAGGAATAAAGAACATCATCTGGTCTATGATATCACCATTCCTACCTCTCACATTTGGTCGTTTCCCTGCCACACTAAACGTGGGGAAAGGAAATTAGTTTTTTTTCCCTTCAACTTAAGGTGTAATCACAAACGGGATACATATAAAAGCAGTGTAGTATTGCTGCTAGACCCAAAAGAAAAAGAAATGTGCACTGTGGCAGATATTGTTTACCAGCAAAATACATTAATTGGAGTGACACTAAAAATAGGACTGGGAGTAAAGGAATTTTTGGAACTATAGCCCAAGTAGAATTTTCCTACATGAAGCAACTTTAATTTTTAAATTCATTATCTTTTTCTACACTCCAAAAATATCCTCTCTTCCCCTCCCATCTATTACAACATTATCAAACATATTTGAAAAGCATCATAATTAACTCAAAAACTGTACAGTTGCAAGGTGCCCCAAGTCTTGTGGAAAACCCTAAGGATATAACTCTTGATTAACTCGGGTGTTTTGGCACTTTTGGTATGCCTTGTCCAATACCTCTAGGCCATGTACCATAGCATCTAAATTAGCAAGTAGCAATACTACAAGCTCTCCTGTCTCTAGAGACAGGTCTGAAAGAGCTGCGAGCAGCTGCTGTCATCGTTGCTACTCAGGACAGCATACTCCTACCCTCTCTTCTATCTGTACAGTCACAGGTTGAATGCAGAGGAGAAAACAGACTGAGTAGGTAGAAAAGACAGAGGCAAAGTCTCTCAACAAACTGACGCAGCTCTTGATTTACACACTTAAGCTACAGGATCAGCCCTCTCCATGTCCACAAAAATGCCCTGTGGAGAAGGATTTGGGGATGAAAAACTGTATGTGACCCAGCAACGTGCGCTCGCAGCCCAGAACCCACCCGTGACCTGGGCTGCAGCCAGAGCAGGGGGGGCAGCAGGGCCAGGGAGGGGATTCTCCCCCTCTGCTCCGCTCTGGGGAGACCCCCCCCTGCAGTGCCGGGGCCAGCTCGGGGGCCCCCAACAGCAGAAGGACCCGGAGCTGCTCGAGTGGGGCCAGAGGAGGCCACGGAGATGCTGGGGGGGCTGGAGCAGCTCCCCTGGGGGGCCGGGCTGAGAGAGTTGGGGGGGTTCAGCCTGGAGAAGAGAAGGGTCCGGGGAGCCCTTCGAGCGGCCTCCCAGGGCTTAAAGGGATGTGCTGGGTTTGAGTGAGTAGCAGGGTTTTGGTAGCAGGGAAAGGGGCTACCGTGGTGGCCCCTGTGAGAAGCTTCTCAAAGCTCCCCCAGCTCCAAGTTGGACCCACCCCTAGCCAGGGCCAAATCAATGAGCAACAGTGGCTGCACCTCAGCAATAACATACCTAAGGGGAACCTGAGAGAAAGAGGAAGAGTTGTGAGGAAGACACCTATGGAAACACCGAGGTCAATGGAAGGAAGGACCCCACGCTGGAGCAGGGGGCTGTGCCTGGAGAAGGCCGGGGCTCTGAGGGGAGAAGCTCTCGCTGCTGTAGTTTGGCACAGGGAGAACTGTGACACGAGGGAGGGACTCACGCTGGAGCGGCACGGGAAGAGCTGCAGCCTGTGGGATGGACTTGTGTCAGAGAAAGTTTGTGTAGGACTGTCTGCCATGAGAGGGACCTCACGCTGGAGCAGGGTAAGAATGTGAGGAGTTCCCTGCCCTGAGGAAGAAGGAGCGGCGGGACTGACTGCACGCACGTCCCCCCATTCCCTGCCCCCTTGGTCGGGAGGAGGTAGAGATATCAGGAGCAAAGCTGAACCTGGGAAGAAGGGAGGACTGGCAGAAGGTGCTTTCAAGATGTGGTAATGCTTCTCACTGTCCTACTCTGTCTGTTAAGTATTGTTGTTGTAAGTATTTGAATTAAATTGATATCCATTTTCTTCCCCTAACAAGTCTGTCTTTTGCCTGTGACCATAACCGGGTGAGTCACTCCTCCCTGTCCTTATCTTATTCCCAAACCCTTTACCTTATCTTCTCCTTCCCATCCCTGAGGGGGAAGGGGGGGGAGCAAGCAGCCTAGTGCTCAGTTGCCCTCTGGGCCCAAACCACTACAAGGGGCCTTCTAACGAAGATGGGGACAGGCTTTTTAATAGGGCCTGTAGCAGCAGGACAAGGGGTAATGGTTTTAAACTGAAAGAGGGTAGATTAAGACTAGATATAAGGAAGAAATTTATGATGAGGGTGATGACACTGGAGCAGGCTGCCCAGAGAGGTGGCAGATGCCCCATCCCTGGGAACACACAAGGTCAGGCCGGACGGGGCTCTGAGCAGCCTGACCTAGTTGAAGATGTCCCTGCTCATGGCAGGGGCAGGGGGGTTGGACTAGATCACCTTTAAAGGTCCCTTCCAACCCAAA